GGATACAACATTTTAGTATCAACACTTTTTTGAGTATCGATACTTAAGAAAAATGAGTATCGTATCGGGATACAACATTTTAGTATCAATACTTTTTTGAGTATCGATACTTAAGAAAAATGAGTATCGTATCGGGATGCAACATTTTAGTGTCAACACTTTTTTGAGTATCCATACTTTTGACCACCCTACCTCCAGGACGCCTACCGGGCCGTGCGGGCCCACCAGAACCGGGCGGGGCCGGGCCTGGAGGAGGATCCGGAGGGGGCGGAGCCTGAGGGGGCGGGGCCAGAGGGGGCGGGGCCTGAGGGGGCGGGGCCGCTGGCGCCGCAGCACCGGCACTACCTGAGCTACGAGGGCGTGGGGCTGGGAACGCCGAGCCAGCGGGAGCGCCAGTACCGGCAGGCCCGGGCGGACCGGGCCGCCGAGCGGGTTCTGGAGTACCGGCAGCAGCGGGCGCCCGTCGGCGGCAACGGCGAGGGCGAGGAGGGGGCGGAGCTAGTCCTGCGGCGGCGCGGCCGCGGCGCCCAGATCACGCAGGCGGTGGAGCGGCTGGTGGAGGACCTGATCCAGGAGTCCATGGCCCGCGGGGACTTCCAGAACCTGCGCGGCGCCGGGAAGCCGCTCGCCAAGTTCCGGCGCGACCCGAACGCCGACCCGGCGACGCACAACCTGAACCGGATCCTGATGGACAGCGGCTACCAGCCGCCCTGGGTCAGCCAGCAGCGAGAGATCCGCGAGGCCGTGGAACAGCTCCGGGCCCGGCTGCTGGAGAACCGGGCCCGGCTGCTGGAGAACCGGGCCCGGATGGGCAGAACCCAGCAGGACCGGGACCGGAGCCAGAACCAGGACAAGAACCAGGACCAGAGACAGGACCAGGACCAGGACCAGGACCAGGACAAGAACCAGGACCAGGACCGGGACCAGGACCGGGACCAGGACCAGGACAAGAACCAGGACCAGGAGAAGGACCAGGACCGGGACCGGGACCGGAACCAGGACCAGGACCAGGACCAGGACCAGAACCAGAACCAGAACCAGAACCAGGACCGGGACCGCTGGGAGCAGCTCTGCGCGGCGGAGCGGGAGCAGCTGGACCGCATCAACAAGATGGTGGACCGCTACAACCTGGCGGCGCCGGCCCTCGGCCTGCAGATGGTCCATTTCAGCCTGGCCCGGGAGGCCCGGCGGGCCGAGGCCGGCGCCGAGCAACTGGACCTGGAGAGGGAACGGGCCCGGCAGCGCCGCAAGGAGGAGAAGAAGAACGCCAACGCCGCCATGAGG